AGTTGGCAGCTAATGGTCCTGCTCTGATGTGGAAGCCCCGAAGATGCACAGATGTGCGGTCACCTTGGGTGACCCATGCTGGGAAAGCCAGGACGACAGAAAAGGCAGCTGTGACTGAGCCAAGTCAGCAGTGTCCGGTAATGTGATTACAGTGAACATTAACCTTGAATTTTTGGCCCCTATGCAAAATATGATGCATTGAACCTTGCAGAGACGTTTCTGTTTCAGAACCTCCACCTCATGGGTGCTTTTGAGCTGTTGTGAAGTGTCTTAACAACACTGAGATAACCGAGCTCGCTGGAGTCTGAGCAGAGACATCACAGAAGAGTAAACAGGGACGGGCGATGAGAGAAGATAATAAACATTGCTAAGATAGATGACCCTCACTCGGGAGATTAGCGAATTTGCCGGCAGCGGGTTGTGCCTCCCACTGGCAACTGACGTTACAGAGCCCGGATCTGAGAAAAGCAAGGTCTAGATACGCAAGAAGCTCTCTCATCCCTCCGTTTTCACAGGGAAGTTTGAAGGGCTGGAGGAAGATCTGAGCTAGAGATGGGTGACGAAGTCTCCCCGTTCCAGATCTGCCACCACAGACACCCGAGCGAGGCAGCTGAGCGCCTGGCTCCCACGTTAGCTGTAGTCAACGTGCGGCGACGCCCGTGTCCCCAGCTCCTGATAGCACCGCGGCCACCTCAGGTGCAATCCTGCTCCTCCTCCTGCTTGGAGGAGACCTGAGGTCTTGGAGCCGTATGGAGCGTGCGCAACGTATGTGCAGCGCTGCAGAGGACTGGAAGCGTCCGAACCCTTGGAGCTTCGGCATGATTCTTGGTTTAATATGTAACTCCATAAGCTAATCATCCGTATCGGGGAAGATCAAACTGAAACTCAGCTTTATTTTCCTTTATTAAAGGTGAGGTTTTTTTGGGTCACATTTTTCCCCTGTGGTACACAACACTGAGCACTCTTTGGTGCTGTTGCAATACAGATAAACACAATTGCACTATGCTTCCCGGGAATAGCGAAAGGATGACTTTCGGCTATGAATTTCATACGGTCTTACATCGTTTACCAAATCCCTCCCATCTGCTGATTTTAGCGGAACTGACACATGTGAATACAGCTGCTTACCCGTGCATGCCTAAAATGACTCGGAGCCTAAAGGAGACAGAGAAATCGGGCCTATTTGTTCACTTTGCAAGAGGAAGGATGAAGGAACATGTAAGAAGGAAGAGGGAAAGGACTTGCTGCATGAAGCTGGATCGATGCTGTCAACCTCATTCTGATCTGATGATCCCTGTTGTTGGCCCTGCTCTGCATCTGGGGAGAATCTCTCCTCATTCTAAAACCGCCTGAATCGTGAGATTCAGTTCCACGGGTCCTTTCCCGTGGGGCTGTTATTTATGAACGTATGTTTGGCTCTGATGTTGTGGAGACACCAATTCCGGGTCCAAAATCAATGTCCTTGTTCCTACACTCCATTGTGGTAGACACGGGATAGAAACCCAGCAAAATGTCTCTTTATCGAATTCTACCTTATGTCCAGGCAGATGGGAGAAAAATCAGCAGAGCTGCAAAATGCGGAGCCAGAGGCCACTGTGCAGGTCAGCCTGGGGCCGGGGACAGCCAGCATTCCAGGCCGTGCTCCTCGGTTAATGGCAATGTGGTGTTCACAAGGTGTAGGCAGTTTTCCGGCATCCAGCGGCCGCGCCAGCCTTTTCCTGAGGATTCAGTAGCTTTCTGCCGTGGTTGCGGGCGATGCCCTGAAACGGCGCCCGTGGTTTCGCGCCGCGAGCGCCG